CCACAATGTGGGACAAAGTGTACAAGAAGAAATGTTGGGTGCTTGTGATAAAGGAACAATATTATGGGTGACTTCGATCTACATTTATAAAGTAGAAAGATCAGATTGACAGTAGCAGCCTGGTGACAAGTTCATAGAATGCTTTTGAAATAATTTCTTAGTGTAGCAGTTTCTGGAACTGATCTACAAGCAGGTTATGTTAAAATTGGTATTGTGCAATTTGACAGGATTAATCAATGACATCAGAGTAAAGGCACCCCTATGCAGCAGTGACCACAGTATGATTGACTTTTACATCCGGCTTGAAAGAAAAAACAGAGGGTCTAAGACTCGTATTTTAAACCTAAATAAAGGCAACTATGAGGGCATAAAGCTGAGTTAGATGGCATGAACTGGCATACTAAGCTAAGGGATAGATGAATAGAGCTGCAGCGGCAGACATTTAAGGGACAATTTCAGAATGCTCAATAAGTATATTCCTACTACAAAGAAAAACAATTATAGTAAGGACCTACCAAATCTAGTTAATTAAATAAGTTAGGGAAAGCATCAACATTAAGGAGAAAATTTACAAATGTGCAAAGATGAGGGCTAGGCCTAATGATTGGTCAGAAAAAAGCAAACAGCAAAAATGACGGTGTATCCTGTGACCATGACTTAATTTTGGGTTTTATTTCCACTCCAATATTTATTCCAACTCAATTTCAGATATAGAGATTCTGTATCAAAAATGCAACCTATGATTTTGGGTGCCACCTGTAATGTTTTTACAATCATAACTCCTCCTTCATGACAATCAGGAGTATCTCTCAATTAATTTCCCTCGACTGTGACCAGAGGGAGCTAGATTCTAAGACATGTAATTTGAGCCCACTGAATGCAATTAGCACCCCTCACCCCATCCAAAAGGAAGAAGGGCTGTCAATGGTGTTACATTTCTCTTGATAGACCAAAATACAATTGTGTTTAGCTAGATTGTAACTTTTATGGATGTTGTCAGGGTTGAAGTGAATCCCCTCAGAAAATATTCCCCCTCCAAAGGAAATAGAAGTTGGGTTTATTGAGTGTTTGATACAGAAGATTACATGAGACAATTTAAATCTTAACAGAAATTTACTATAAGAAAACATGACATTTTAATGATAATGCAAAGACTATAGGTCACAAAGTTAAATAATATCTTGAAAACTTAAGTAGTTCTTATTTCTACTTGAGCATCCAAAACTCAACCTCTCCTTACTACAAATGCAAGGCTTCCAAAGAAAGCAGAGATATCCATCAAGGTAACATTACCTTGTTCCCATAAACCCACTTGGTTCAGAAGATTCTGAAGTACAGGTGACTGACAGCAAACATTATCTCTAATAAACATACATTATATTTATAATTAATGATTTTTTTGGTGTTGATTTATTAAGAAGTATGGGAAATGATAATTTGCTCAGTCATAGGCCATCCCTAATCATTATTCCATATTAGGTGTGAGGGTCTCCTCACTATTTTTAAATTTATTCTTCAAAAATCAGGGCTGTGAAACAGTCACCATTGATCAATTATTTGCTCAAGGTGCAGTGTTCAGTAAGATAAAAAGACTTACAGCCTAATATTCCTTTATCTAGGTTGTAGCTATACTTATCTGAAATAGCAATGCACGGTCACGTATGCATCATCACAAGGATCCCCAGTTTAATTTTTTTTTGGTATATGCAATCTCACAGTAATTGCTGCGAAGCAAAATGTCTGGTCATTTTTGTCCTTCAAAGAACTTACCTTGCTTGCTTCCTATAAAGTAACTTTTTTTTGTATCCATCCAATACAGTTAGCCCTTACTCCTTCCTGTTTCACACACAAGTATTGAACTTATTCCCTTTTTCTCTTTTCATCACTAACACCTGCTGAGAAAGCTGTACTCAGGTCAGTTTGTTTATTTGAAGTTACATGGTGTCTTAACTGCAATCCAATTACCTAAATCATTTCACAAATGTTTAATTTTATCTATTGGAATACTGCGTGCAATTCTGGTCTCCCTGCTATTGGAAGGATTTTGTGAAACTTGAAAGGGTTCTGCAAAGATTTACCAGGATGTTGCCAGGGTTGGAGGGTTTGAGCTTTAGGGAGAGGCTGAATAGGCTGGGCCTATTTTCCCTGGAGCGTTGGAGGCTGAGGGGTGACCTTGTAGAGGTTTATAAAATCATGAGGGGCATGGATAGGGTAAATAGACTAGGTCTTTTCCCTGGGGTGGGGGGAGTCCAAAACTACAGGGTGTGGTATAAAGGTGAAATGGTGGAGGCTGGTGCAATTACAATGTTTAAAAGGCATCTGGATGGGTATATGAATAGGAAGGGTTTAGAGGGATATGAGCCAAATGCTGGCAAATGGGACTTGATTTATTTAGGATGTCTGGTTAGCATGAACGAGTTGGACTGAAGGGTCTGTTTCTGTGCTGTATATCTCTGACTCTATATACAGAGCTGGGTTGACAAGTCAGTTTGTTCATACTTAAACATGAAAATAAGATGTTAAATACAGGAGGAATACTGGATTCACCCAACTGATGAAAGATGACAATGATCCTTATCACACGAATACCATTAGACACCAGGATAAGAGAACACTCAAAGACCAAGAAATGAAACACCTTTACTGATAAACCTTCAGTAAAGTTTTTTTTCCAAAAAAAAGGAAAGCTTAAATGACTATTCATATAGTTGTATAAAACATCAAAAAATTGACTAGATAAAAGCTTACAACTTCATAACGGAATCTTCAAATAATTAAGGAAAAATGTTTAATACAGCATCACACGAAAGCAGGAGGAACTTATACAGAAGATTAACATATTTTTGCAAAGTGGGAGGAATCTAAATATAAAAAAAATTCTCTCACTGAACTTGCAGAAGTATGAAGAACCCTCAGATAAAACTTCTCTAAAGTATGGGTGGGGTGGTGGGGATGACAGGGAGGCTTGCAAGTGTGGTGAGGGAAACAGGGACTGCTACAAAAGGTGGGTGAGAAGGGAGAAGCCTGCAAAGGGGATTGGAAAAAAGAGGGGAGGGACTGAATGAAGTGTGAAAGGAAGACTGCAAAGAAGAAATGCTCAGAACTATTCCACCAACAAAGGAATACTGAGTTAACTGGTGACAGGAAAACTTAAACCTGTCAATGAATCACTTGCAAACAAGTATGAAATCTCTGCTTTAAGACTGCATTGGTTCAAGTGCTCATTTATAGGGAAATATGCAGTAGATGCCATTGCAATGAACGCTATTGATTGTTAAACTTAATTTTAGGATTGAAATAAGAGATGCAGGAAATAGGGTATGGTAAGTGTCTGATTAAAATTCTCCAGCAACTTGGAGAATTTGTGGTGGATATGTGTTAGCCATGACCTCAACAACCTGAAATTTTGCTTAGAGCAATGGCTTTTTGTGTGGAAATGTGCATCACCTATGCCTGTAATCTTGCACCCATCTTAATACCATATTTTTAAAAAGCAATTTTGTTGCGCTGTTTAAATTTAACGGAGCATTGATGAGCAGGATCTGAAGAACTCCTCAATGGCATTCAAAACCAGTTACTCCCACATGTTGGCACAAGTACTGAAGACAATGTTTATTTATATATATCCCACTAAATGCGTTAATGAAAAATAGCCATAGAAAGTCTCAAAAGTACTTGAAAAAAAATTCCTACTACAGAAGATGCGCTAAGATCTCAAAGTATGCTTTTTATAGACCATTACCAACATCAACTCCCCCACCCAAGAAATTCCACATCTGGTTACATTGCATTTCCTCTTGTTCATCTTAAAATATGTTGCTCCACAGTTGTCGGCTTTAAATTGCATCCACATGTTCACGAAATGCACTGCCTGATCCTCAAGAGTTCATAATACTTCCAAGCTGTGTCATCTGCAAATTTTGAAATTGTTGTGTGTACATCTGTGCCAAAGAAATTGAAACCAATCAGGAAAAACAGTGATCCTCGTACTTGCTTGTTGAACAATGTTTCAGTCCAGAAACAACTGTGTCTGCGTGGGTTTCCTCCCACAGTCCAAAGATGTGCAGGTTAGGTGGATTGGCTATGCTAAATTGCCCATAGTGACTAGGGTGGGGGAAAATACAGGGATAGGGTAGGGAGTGGGTCTGGGTGGGATGCTTTCAGAGGGTCAGTGTGGACTCAATGGGCCGAATGGCCTGCTTCCACACCATAGGGATTCTATGATTACAACAGCTACAATACTGTCAACAAGCCCCCAATTTTAGTTCATGTAAAATCCCAAGCAAGTCAAACATATTTTACTTGTGATTGAACTGCATCAGTTTAACTTAATGCTAATTTAATTAAGTAACTTCATTTTTCTCTCCAAATTACTGGTTTAAAATAGTTTCTGAAAGAGATTAGGTTGACCGATTTGTATTTGTAGAGTTTATGCTTGCATCCTTTCTTGAACCACAGTCTAACATTTGTAATTCTACAGTCCTCTCGCATCAAAGGATGTTTGGAGGATTCTGGCTCTACCTCCACGATTTCCATACTTATTTGCTTCAGCATCTTTAAAATAGATACCATCCAGTCCTCGTGACAGCAGCCTTTCTATACCTCTATCAAGTTCAGCCCATCCAAGTGGCCATGAAATTCAAATGTTTCATTCTAACCAGCGAAAATCATCATAATACAGTTTACTTGTAGAAATATAATATATAATACTGCCTCCCAGACGAGTGTTAGTTGCTAGTCTGACTGAGTTTTCTTGCAACAGATTTGAAATATTCCAAATGTGTACAAAAAGTGTTATACCCAATCCACAACTTTGCTGTTGTCAGCACAATGTTATAGAAGATTTAATGTTCATGACAATTTCACTATTTACAGGACTTCAGCAGTCATGTTTTAGCTAGAAAGATGGCTTCAAATTACATTCCTGAAATTTTCCAGAATAGTCTGAATTAAAAAAATTTGATTTGATTAGTGCTCAATAATCCTGCAAACTGCACAGCTTCCCAAAGATGAATTTATTTTGAAAACTACATGTTCATTACACTATTTAAAAATCACATTCCAGGTGATTGTCTCCTGATAAAATCCTAGGCAAGCCTTATGACAATTTTTTCTAAGAAGTAATAAATGGAAATATAACAAAGCCGTTATGGAATCTGACAATTCTAAAAGAGGATATTTCCAAATCTTAAAGCGATAACAATGACAACATGTTAACATTTTCCCAGATCACATGATAATTGCTATATGGTCCAGTAAAAGTAGACATTAGGACAGGTCTTTTTGTCAATGCCCAACAAATCTTACTTGGGCCTTTTTGATTAAGAAACAAGGATTCATTGCTTGAGGACTCAATTTGTCCAAGATCAACATTTAAAATAAAAGCATAAACAGATATCACATTTCAAATATTTGAAATCAAATGAGTAATAACTGAAAAAGGCAAGTAAATTCTATCAACAATGTTTGCACTGTAACTTCAATTACATGCAGCAGTTTGAATTACATTTATTGTCAAGTTCTCAAACTTTGTACAATTTTACATCTCAACCAATTTAACAAAATCCCAAGGGATCAGCATGTTTAATTCATTTGTCTTGTAGCCACAGACAATAACCTTTCAAAAAGCATCTTTCATTCTGATGTGTCATTCCGTAGATGACGTAATATCATTCTGATCTGGATTGTAAACGGGGTGGTTTCATTGTAATTATTTGTTTTTATTGCATCCAACTTCTTAATATATTCAGCAGGCAATCCACTCTGTTTTGCACCTGTACAGATTACCTGCAAAACATATTTTGAGTAAATAAATGATAAAGCATCTGTTTAAACTAAGTTGTTATATGAAATGGAATGCTATCATTCAATGATAATTAATTTTTCACTAAGTTAATTTTTAAACAACATGTATGTTCTTAAGAGTACATAATTTACAAGTGACTTGATCTCAAAAACAAGTTTCCCACTAAACTGTGCAGGCTGCTATTTGGCAGCCTATCTGCATTTTCAAAACCTACCTCTTTGTAAAGTGGAGATGGCAGGGCAGAACGAAAGTTATTCATTTGGTAGGTCTGACACAACACTTCTCCTGTATTTTCTCGTTGAATGTTAACTTGTGTTGGAATGTATAGTCCTATTTTTACACCTTCTTGACTGTTGGGAAGGAAAGGGAAAAACATATCAGATGTTCAGTCCCTGTGTGTTCTTCTGATCACTGCTAACCACCCAACCAATCATTTCAACTTCAAAAAAGGTTCAGAAATAAAACAAACCTGAAACTATCACTGTCTATGGCAAACATTTTCTCACAGGTGATGGGAGTAGATTTATATTTTTGATAAAACACTAAATGGTGATAAGGTTGATTCTATTCAAGGATTTATAGGATAAAAATCAGAGGTCTTAGTCTGTTTTACCCTTGTGGATCTGATGTAATAGCGAAACTATAAATTAGCTTCAATTCAAACAAACAATTTCCTAATCGTTAAAGCTTCCCACCAGCCTTACCATATAGATGACTGTGATAGTTAAATTTCAAGCACAAAACCAAAAGAAAACAAAAACTACAATGTAACATATATAACTGGAAACTCATGTCCTTCACCACCATTTCCCAGATCCTTCATTAACACAACTCTTAATGATGGGCCAATCTCAAAAAACAGCATCAACAGCACCATAACCACATACTTATGTAGATTATAACCAACTGCATAAAGCGAGACACTTAAAGGTGTACTTTTCCAGAAGATTAAGACTTAACTCACACTTACGATGACTGAAAAATGTGTTTACAAAGCTTACTCTTTAACAAAAAAAAAGAATATTTCAGCATTACTCGAAGAACCCTGTCCATTACACAAGGCACTGTGGCTTCAGCTAAAATTACTGTTGTTGGAATTAAAATAGGACAATTTCTGGAAAGGATTCACATACCTTCGTATTTATTTAGTGCAAGAGACTAATATTTTTCACTTTTTAACTGAAGAGCAGAAAGATTACATTTGAAAAATTCCATCCAACAAAACAAGTTTATGGAAGGTATTACCTTTTTTGTATTGAGTATTACTGTTTTCACGACTTATACATTCATGAACAGTCCCTCAAACAGTTTACAGAAGTTCCAAGTTATCCAGAGTACAGATTCCTCGCACCGTTCTTTCCCAGCAAACGGCGTAGCAACATTGCAAACTATGTATCTACAATCAGACAGCCTACCAACTTCCTCTTCTAGTGTAACTGAGCAGTTTGATAAACCTGCTTAAAACAATGGGCTGAATCTTTAATTTTGACACCCTTCATATGATTCTATCCCTACCTTGCCACATGCCATTACCAGAACTACTCACCACTCAATAGATATCTGCCAAAAGACCTGCATGCCTTGCACCCAGGCCCCCTTTAAAAGCCTACTGTGCACCTGAACAAGCACTACAGACTTGCCCTACACAATTCGTTACATTTGCCCAACATGGCAGATAGGGGAAAATTGATGCCCTGCTTTACAGACAGGACTTGGGAGGTCCTGAAGGATGGCTGGTACAGTCAAGACTTTCTCTTCCACCTAGATCAGCAATGGCGGCCAGGACACTAGGCCTGGTCAGTGGTTGCCACCTGTGCAGAAGTCAATGAATTGTCAGATTTAGAGCAATACCCAGCAAAAACAAGATTTGCCAGTGCAAGTGCTCCTATCTTCTGTCTGATATCTTTTACTCTCTCTACTTCTGCTACTGTACCCACATCCCACCAAAGCTCTCTACTATTCTCACCTGTTGTCCTACACCAAATTTCCCCACAAACTTTCACCCACCCCAACTCCCACACTATTATCCTGCATGCTCTTTGCATTGTCTACTCACTCACTTGGGACCTCTCCCTACCTGCACCAAGTATAGGCTTTGCCACAACTTCGGTATCCCTTAATACGTGCCTCTCTCTCATTCCAAGAGGAATGAGTCCACATAGGGCAAAAAGCACCAAGATGGTGATGGGCATGTAAATGAAGTCTCCCCATCCTAAGAATAACTCCTACAAGTTATTACTGTACCATCTGAAGTTTTCACATCCTTCCCATTTCTAAAGCCCAGGATCTAGTTTGCCTTTTTAACTATTTTCCCAATCTGTTGTCTTCAATGATTTGTGTCGAAAAACCCTCCAGTTGATTTCAGTTCCTCTTATGAATTGTGCCCATTGTTGCCTTTTCTAGTTCTTCCAACAGAATGTAACATTTCACACTTTTTGCATTAGAATTTCACCCGATATATATCCACCTGCTTTACCAGCATGTATATTTCCTTTTGAAGTCTATCCCTTTCACAATTCACAATACTTGCAGGGTGTTGGTTTTCCATAAATTTGGAAATTGTGCTGGACACACTCATTTCTAGGTCCGTATTATACATAGAGATGGGCAGGGTTCCCAGTTTATTTGTGAAGGAGTTGCATTTTACAGATTCATACCAGCCTTTCCCAATTAATGCACACTTGTGCATGTGACTTAATTTTGGCCCAGGCGCTTGTGTTTTGATTTCAGCTGATGTTGCTACTCGGCAAGTAAGATCCCAGAATGGAAAATGGCCTGATATTTTTGAAATTCAACATGGTGGACTTTTACTGAAACACAAGCACACAGAGCTGTGGATTCGGTTTTAAAAGCTAAGACAAAAGTTTATTACACAAAAAAGAATTTAAAAAATTTTTATAAAGATTAAGATACATAGAGGCAAAATCCCATTTCACCCCAACACCATTACATTATAGTCGCTCAAAAATAGAGGTAAATCTTTCCCTTTCTTTCTGTAATTTGATTTTACTGCCTCCACTCAGTTCCAGTTCAGTGAGGTCTGAGGCCAGTTTCCATGACTGCTCACCCAACAGAGCTGAGACTTAAATCAGTCTTGTAACAAAACACCGTTCTAATCATTGCTTGTCTAGTGTCCTGAACTAGGTGCATTAGAAGAACCATTCATCAATGCAATAATAATCGGATGTCAATAATTATTCAAACTACATGGTTTCACTGAAGTAACCTATTTCCTTATGTGCTCTGAACAATCTCCTTTCTCTCGGAGAAATTGTACTTGCTTCTGACCCCACTTAAGTCTCCTTTAAACTGCCCAAAAAGCTTTTGAACCAAATTATAAGACAGATGATAACTTGCTGACCCTAGAGACTCTACTAAGCTAATGGCTTGACTTCTTCTTTCTCCAGTTGTAAACCTTCACAGAATAAACAAACTCCTATTAACATTCCAGGAGGTACATGCTGGTTTAAAATCATGGTTCAGGAAAGAATGACCCAGTTAATTTTAAAAACTTATTCACAAAGATAAATCAACACCCATTCACTACTAGTTTAAAGTCCAAACTTTGAAAAGATGATACTAATTGTAGTGATTGTGATGAGGTCACCCAGCTGGACCTATCAGAATGAGTTCCCTGATTGTGCCAGATTGACAGCCCCAATCAGGGAGCCCCAGCTGACATATAAAAAAAGTGAGTTTCAGAGATATTGACCCTTTAGTGCTGGACTCTGTATGAGGCATGACTATGGTCAAGGACTATTCATGTGTAAATAAAGCTTGACCTGGTGACAGATACCAGCCTCAGTGGAGTTATTTTACAAATATATACATCACAGATGTTTAATCACACTTTCACAGCATCAAATTGGTGGCTTTATCTATATGCTGAATACTTTTTCAAATCAGGGTATATAACATTTGTTATTACTCAGTCATCTGCCACCATCCCAGTACTAAACTAAGACTGGGTGATTATAATCAGTACATCAGCATTTTTCACCCTGAATTCCTCAGCGTTCTCTGAAGTATCATAGCTGGTCCCATAGCTGACTTATAAACTGAAGAATTACCAACCCTTTTAGTCAATCGATCTAGCATTAATTGCTATTTGAAGAGGAGTGTTTCAAAATTTGATCAGCTATTCACAAAATTCACTCAAATCTTTAATCTCTAATCTCCTCTTCCTATACTTCCCCAACCATTGAAAATACTCCATCCAAGGCCAACATACCCCTCCCATGATGTGGTGCCCAAATCACATTGCACTCCAGATGTGACCCAACCAGATTTTGTATAACTGTCACATAACAACCATTCTTTTGTATTCTAATTCTCTTGATGTAAAGGCCAACATTCTGTTAGCCTTTTTAATTTTTTTTTTGTACATTCTCATATGGTTTTAGCTGTATGTACCTGACCTCTTCTGTCCTCCACAACACCCCCACTCCACTTCAACATTGTCTTTTATAGAGGTCTCTAGACGGAAGCATAAGTAGAACCTGGCATCGTCACAATAGTAATCAGAAATTAAAGCAGATAAGCAGCAGGTAAATTAGTAGGTTCTAGTGTCAGTTGAGTAAATGAATGCTTTTTGCTCAGATATACATAATGACATTTTCATATAAAGCCCAGAAAATAAATGGGAGCTGCAGTTTGATAGATGAAAACCTTCCTTTTAAACACTTTTATCACTATTTGGAGAGCTGCAATGAATCCTCTACAAAAGGAAAGATAATTTTGGCTAACTGCTCCTTGGATAGAGAGCTGTGTCATGCATATCAAGTTTATCCATTGCAACATGCACTTATATAGCATGGTCAATATAGCCGTGTTTTAAGAATACTTGGAACCTGTCCTAAATAAAGGATAAATTGATTCCTAGGCATAAGCATGCACATGCATGTCTGTCTCAAAGATGGAACCCAAATCATATTTTAAAACAAGACTGCATCAGATAGGCCATCATTTTTTAATCTCCAAAAAAAAACAGAAAAGAAGTTTTTAAAAATGTACCAAAGAATTGCAGATACTGGAAAACAAACAAAAACAAAATGCTGGAAAAACTCAGCAGGTTGTGGCAGCATCTGTGGGGAGAAAGCAGAGTTAATGTTTCGGGTCCAGTGAACTGCCTTCAGAAAAGAACTTTTTGTCTGAAATTACTGACTAGATATACAAGACAATACTTGCTCATCTAAAGATGGCCGATCAGCAGATTCCAATTGCCATATAACGCCCCATACAACATCTTCAGGACTTGGGATAACAGTAGCCACACCTCCTCCCCATGCGCTCTCTTGCAAATCAGGGAAACCAAATGCAAGCTTATAGCCCTGGGGGAAAAAAAAAAATTGAATGAGTAGAAAAATTGGGAATTCCATACCTGAACAACAGGGTGGCATGGTAGCAGTGGTCATCATTCTTACCTCAGTGCCACTGACCTAGGTGCAATCTGACTGTGTGGAGATTGCACATTCTCCCTCTGTCTGCATGGGTTCCTGCTGGGTCCTCCGGGTTCCTGCTGGGTCCTCCAGGTTCCTCCCACAGTCCAAAGATGTGCAGATTTGGTGGATTGGTCATGGTAAATGTGGTGTTACAGGGAAAGGGATGCTTTTCAGACAGTCAGTGCAGAGTTGATCGTCTGAATAACTTCCTTCTGTAGGGATTCTATGACTATAACGCACAGTTGCTAAACATGCTTTTTAAAATTGTCACAAATCAAATAACCAAAGAAGCTATGACGTGAAAAGACAAAAAAGCACGAAGAAAAAGATCAATACAGCCATATCTTCCAACCGGTTTGTTCAGATTCAAGAACTTTTGCTTGCCGATGGGCAAGCTTGTCACACTCTAATCACAGAATCATAACGCTGACAGCCTCCAAATGAGTCAAAACACTTGACTTGTATCACAAACATAATCCCATTGAATACATTAGGAACACAATACATGCATGTGCTTTGAACTACAATTTTTTTTTAGGCACTGCTTGATGTTTGCTTAATTAGCTCTAGAGCCATTTGGAATTCTTCAGTCTCTGACCTTACCACTTGGTCAGGTGTTGATCTTCTGGAGCAATGAAAATACTGAACACACACCAATCCATCCACCCAGACACACACAGCCGTCTACATCCACCGAATGGCGTCCAGAATCTAGTTGCCTTTATCCAGCTTCAATTGTCATAATCTATCCTCCACAATACAGAAATAAAGACTTCTGCCTTGGCAAGTTACTGAAAAAATTCTTTCATGATCAGTGTGGGACTGTGAGGTACCTTCCAAGTTTTACCGAGATTATTTGAGTCTATGCAGACTTTCAGTTCACTAGTGCCATGGTGCTGGAAGAGTTAACCCTTCCTTGATTATTCTCATCTTTTCTAGCTCTTTGATCTTGTCTTTTAGACTGACATTGACCACAGCTGGAACTCTCCCTCGGAGATACTGGAGGTGCTATCACTTTGACTCACCCAGAAAAAGAGGAGTTAGAGGCTGCAGTTCACATTATTTTGCTGTTTCTTACAACGGTTGCTCCGTTTACAGCTTTCAAGATCCACACTATTTCAGCTGTTCCCTTCTGACACTACCTTCCTTTTGTCAACTTCTAATGGCCCTTCTTTCTCAACTGATCTTTCTAAATTACAAGAGGACATGTGATTACAACAAGTCACACCGTACAATTATTCTTATAAATGCATTCCTCAAGTCACAACCATCGAGTCCGGGTTAGTCCATGCCACACTGCTGCATTGTCCTCTACAAATCAAGGATCACACTGGAAACTCACCCACAGTCTGGCTTTGCTGTCAACTGACAGAGGGCAGTATTTACCCCTCCCATAGGTGGAACGAGCCCTGTCCCAGCACGAAGCAAAATCCAATGCCTCACACAAGCCTAGGTTGGAGTTTGCACCTTTGCTGCTCTGTTTTGGCTTCAGCACCAGGACAGTTATCCCCCAAATCATGAGTGCTTTTAAAGGTATTCCCCAATTCAGAACAGCACGACTGTCAGGGCTCTAAGCTGATAGTTTTGAGACATCAGGGCTGAAATCTCCAATTCAAACCAGATTCATCAGAGTTGACCCTGTTGGGAAGGAAGGTTGAACCCCTTTGATAATTAAAATCTAAACACAATCCCCCAGTCTGTTACAAACTGTAAGAACTCCAGATGCTGTAAATCAGGAACAGAAAGAGAAGTAGCTGGTAAAGCATCCGTGAAGAAAAAAATTAGAGTTAACATTTCAGGTCTAGTGACCCTTCCTCAGAACAGAAGTTTTCCAGCTACTTCTGTTTTTGCCCCCAGTCTGTTACGGCGGGAGTAGAGGTCCCCATCTAATAATTAAACGCGAAACACCCAGAGAAGCTAGTCTCACCTCGTCTAATCTGTTAAACTGTTATGGAGAAGGGGAGGTTAAATGAAAGAAAATCCCTGATATTCACTTTATAAGTAACAAGTAACAATTTATTTATTTAAGCCTAACAGTCAAATTAACAAAACTACTAACAAACCAACTAATTTCCCCCAACTCCCAACTATTTCACAACTGAACAAAATTCTACTGGTACGCTATTCCAAAAAATACAAGTCCCACTTACATAACCCAAGTAGTAAGAAAAAATTAATCTAAAACTTAGTCTCTCAAAGTCCATACAGAATGTCTCTTCTGGAATGTTCTGCCTTCTCCACTGTCTCTCCAGTCATAAATGCCTTTCTTCTGCTAATCCTGCTGTCAGGGATGTTCTCTGTGAAGACTCTTAGCTAGATGTACTGTGGTACCTTTTATGGATAATATGGTGCTTTCTTAGAGAGCTTAGCGATTTCTGGAGAGAGCTAGGTGTTTATTTCTCAGATGGTGGTTTGCACCCTTACAGATTTTCAAAAACCCTCTCCCTATCTTGGGCATCATAAATTTTGTTACATTAGAATTGGTTCAAAGTTGTCAAAGCCATCAGATTTAAATTCATTTGGCTTTCATTCACTAAGTGTTTTGTTTAAATTAATTGGCTGATTCCAGCTAGTTATCAAAACAAGCCTAAGGTTTCCAATCACGCAGCCAATTATGTTTCCATTTTAGAACTGGCTGTACATCTACAGCTACATGCAGACACTTTTTCTATAAATCCCTATGCTTAGAAAAGCATTTTGTCTCTTAAAGGAACCACACACTCTATACAACTTCGTAACAACCTACTCAGTGAGACATGGTGCAGGTTCTGCTGCAGGCCAAGTTTGGAAATATTCTCCCTGTACTAGAACTAAATAGCGCTGTCAACAAAAAGCCAAATCCTACATCAGATTTACGTCACTGAGACTGTAAGGCAAAAATCAACTTCTTCCCAACTGTCAAAGTCTTCCCTCTTTGTAAAAGTTTCTATTAACAAGTCCTACTTTACCTTCAGCAGCTCTGAAATTTGCAACATTTACCTTTTAAAAGGTTTTACTCTAGTAATTTCTTATAACAGGAGGCTCTGGAGGCCAACTCTGAACAGGTTTAAGATATCAAAACAGATTTCTAAAGGCAAAAGATGTGAAGTGGTACGGGGAGGGAGCTGAGATAGAGGATTAGCCATGATCATGTTGAATGGTAAAGTGGGTTTGATTGACCAAATGGCCCACAGTTGTTCCTCCCATCCAGCCCGGTGATTCTTCATCAGAATACTCCGTTTCTGTTTTTTATTTCAGATCTCTACCATCGCAACTCTTGTTTCGGTTCACCATTAACGAAAAAAAAGTGGTACTCCCGCCGCAGTGTAATAAACCGAATACCCCGGTCAGTAGCGGTCACAGTGGAGGAGGGAGGCAGCCATGCCATGTTTACTTACCCTCAAGTAGCCCACACCGACCTGCACAGCCGAAGGATTCTGAAGCCGCAACCGTTCCCGCAGCAAATTACTTCCATAACCGAAGTAACAGAAGAAATCTCCCTCACCGACTGGAACATGAATCTGGTCCGTGACGTTGGGTGGCACCGTCATGACGATGAGGAGCTTTCCGCTGCAGATCACGGACACCAACGTCAAATACAATCGATTCATTGCGATCAGAGATAGTAGGAACTGCAGATGCTGGAGAATCCAAGACAACAAAGTGCAGGGCTGGATGAACACAGCAGGCCAAGCAGCATCATAGGAGCAGAGAGGCTGACGTTTCGGGCCTAGACCCTTCATCAGAAAAGGGGGAGGGGAAGGGGGTT